ACAAACATGAAAAAAAAAAAAGAAATAAGGGAGGGGGCCAACACTTTTTCACACCTCTGTATATATATATATATATATATATATATAGCCTAGCTTTATTATGTTTTTCTCCGCTCCCCAACAGTTCCCCAAACGTTCACTTAAGTGAACTGATTATGATAACTGATTATGTTCGCGTGTATAATTAAATACTGTAATACTGTGTATATGTGTATATTTATCGGGATCGTGTGCTGGTGGAAGTGCCTTTTATGCGAGCGTTTCGGAAAACAGTCAGCACAAGAAGCGAGCAGAGAAAAGGTACTCCTCTCAGAAAACGTACAAATAAAGATAATTAAAGATAATAATTGTTATCTTTATTTTATTAAAGATAATAAAATAAAGATTTTTACTGTAGAATTTTACAGTCTTTTATTGTTAAAATCATGACAATTTTTTCCAGTGATTTAAATTAAATATTTTTAGTTTCTTAAAAGCAAGCATTTCAAAATAAAATATATTTTAGTATATAATAATTTAGTATATTTTAGTACATTTCAAACTATTATATTTTAGTAAATAATATATATAGGTGTTGGGACAAAAAAATGTGAACACCCATTTTATAGGCTTGGGGTTGCTTTGGGCTCTCAAGTCCAAATTTGTTAATTTGGTTAATTGTTTTCCACAATTAACCAAAATTAAACACTTTTAAATGAGCTAAAAAGTCCTAAATTACTGTAAAGAGTTGTGAGAACATCTGAAGTGTGTCAGATCTGCGTCATGTGCATTAGGTTTTAAAGTGAAACCTGCTGCAGTCTGTGACATTGATGGAAATAAAAGAAAAAGAGAAATAACTCACTGCTCTGCTTGCTGATTAACTTTTGTTGCTTGAATAAATTTATATAAAAATTATAGTTTAGGCATATACAATTTATAGTTTATGCGAAGTTTTGTTTTAAGTTCACTTACATTAAAAATTGTTACATTTTTCAAAGCCTATTAAATGTTAAAAATAATAGCTTTCAATTATATCGTAATGTTGAATGGTTATAACTACTGGCTAAAATTAAGGGAAAATGCATTTAATAGAGACATCAGCAATATTGGTATCAATTGACAGCTCCGTTATTATGACAACGTGAAATTGCTAAAGTAGAAGAAGTCACATTAAGTATAAGTAGTGTTTAATTTACTCCTATTTACGCACTGCATACTGCGTTTGATGAAACTATAATTATTGGTTAAATGAAGCCCAAGTGCTATGGAAGAATGTTCAGGGCAATTTTCAGAAGGAACTGCAAATTGTATTTTCAATTGCGTCTTCCATATGTGGACGCATAATTCGTGACATAATCCAAAAGCAATTGCAAATCTTGCATGACCGTTCCCGTTTTCGTTTTCATGAACACAGTGAAAAGCGTTTGGTTAATAGTGAATATTGACCTATTGTGCATACTGTTGTGGCTCCCTCTGTTAGCAGGGGATAATCGCTGCATTTGGGATAAAAAGGATAGTGTTTTGATAGGTTTATGTATTGTGCCAAGAAGGTTGCACTGTCTGTTCGTTCACACAGACATGAACTGATTGACAGCTGCCTTTAGTGGAGCCTTTACCGATTACCTCCATTGTTCAAATAATTCGGCACAATCGTCTGAGTGACGTCACCTCCCAATACAAACATTCCCCAAAGTATAGTCCCGCCCCTGATATTGATTGACAGGTTTCCTTGTAGACATCGGAAATCCAAATGCAAAAGGAATTGCGATTCCATTTGAGTTTTGGCAGGTTACATTCACGACACAGAGAGAGGGAAAAAGCAGACATGGTAATTAATATTGCTATTTAAATATGACAGGCTCTTAACTCGTAAGACATGAGAAATACAGTTGCGAATGGACTTTTGGAATGGGCTTTTTAATTTTTCATTTGCAAGATTTGCAATTGGATTATCCAAAATGAAAATAAAATTGCCCTGAATATCCTTCCATACAAGTGCCACCAAGAGGCCTATTATGTGAAGTGTAAGCAATTCAAGTTCAAAAACACGTGAATGACTTTATTTTTTGTATTGGAATTACTCCATATATAAATTAACCTTTCTTTACATTTGAGCCCCTGTCCCCGAGGAACTCTCTGCACATCCCTGCACCTTAATAAAAAATATTGCCTATTTCTCAGGTGTTATTATTACATTATTTGTCCAACTCCTGTAGATGTCTAATACTGAGAACACAGGTCTGAGTGTCATACCTCTCCAAACAATGAGCCAGGTAGCAGTTTTGCCATTTCATTCCCAGGGTTCTTACCAAGAACCTGAAAAATAGAGCAAATTATGTTAAAAAATCCTCATACATTAAAACACACTAAATTCTCAGTTGACCTCAAAGATTTATATTTAGGCATACCTGTACAAGTCCTTGCTTAATGTAATACAGTTTTTGAATAATTTCTCCAGTTTTAACCAGAATTTGTCCTGGACTGTATGTGCAAGTTTTTAATTTCAGTGCTAGAGCCCTTTTGAAGCCATCTTCTGTTTTTCTGAACAACTTAGCCTAGAAAGATAGACAACCACTTTATTATTAACCACTTTTATTATTATCATGGCCTAAGCTACAGTAATTCATTAGATGATTCACATTTTCAATAACAGATTTGTAACAACAACTTGAAACATCTGAATGCAGGACAAATGGGAGGTCATCCATAAGTCCTGCAATGTTGCGGCCCTTCTGGTGGAACCAAAGATTGTAATAATGTTTGTGCACCCATTCCTGGATTTCCTCTGGTAATTCCATTTGTCTCTTTGATTAAAAGAGGAAAAATAAAGATGATATTACTAGCAGAAATGACAGACTAATAATTAAAATCTTCTTATTACAAACCATGTAATGAAGAATAGCATCCACTCTATGGTAGAACCTTCCTCTTTGTGCAACCATGTTGGTTATAACTGAGCTCATGTTAGACATGCTGATTCCAAAGGAAAGCAATCCGAGGACCATCACAAATGATGCAGCTGTGGCCTCTTCCAAATTTGTGGCATGTATATCTCCATAGCTGTTCAATATATTTCATAAGACAATTTGATAAAACAATCTCTTATGACAAACAAAGAATATATTTAGTATAGGAAATTATGATCCGCACTCACGAGAACAATCTTCTTTTTTCTTTTATTTTACATTCATTACTGATGGGAAAAGACACAAACGTTTCGGCTCAAAGCCTTCCTCAGTGTGTAAAGCAATTCAATCCCTCCACCCACTTTTCAAATCACTAATTATATTGACGTCATCATTCATTAGCCAATGTTCAATTACCACAATCATTAAATCATTTCCACTTAAACCCTGGACAATTTACATATATATATCCAACACAACCCGTCACATCCACTAGTACACCTCACAATATACCCGTGACTAAAACAATAGTTATTTAGGATCACATATGTATCACTATTATACAAACCTATAGTTTATCCTATCAATCATCAATATCTACTCCAATTAACTTTAAATTGTATAACAATGGAAAATTCAATAATTAAACTAGGTTTGTATAATAGTGATACATATGTGATCCTAAATAACTATTGTTTTAGTCACGGGTATATTGTGAGGTGTACTAGTGGATGTGACGTTTTGTGTTGGATATATATATGTAAATTGTCCAGGGTTTAAGTGGAAATGATTTAATGATTGTGGTAATTGAACATTGGCTAATGAATGATGACGTCAATATAATTAGTGATTTAAAAAGTGGGTGGAGGGATTGAATTGCTTTACACACTAAGGAAGGCTTTGAGCCGAAACGTTTGAGTCTTTTCCCATCAGAAATGAATGTAAAATAAAAGAAAAAAGAAGATTGTTCTCGTGAGTGCGGATCATAATTTCCTATACTAAGTAACTCAACAGATTGACGCACCAAAATAAAAAGATCAAGTAACGCAAGAGCGCAGTGCAAACGACGTTGTTAAACAAAGAATATATAAAATACAATATTTAAGGTACACTATGCTATGGCAATAAAAAAAAGCAAATAATACATTAAAATTCTTACATACAGCACCTTTAAACGCTCTATTTTAACACTCATTTGGTGTAACACCGTGTCCTAACTACATGCGACGCAACTAGGGTGACCACCTGGCAATAGATCTGTTGCATGACAGTAGATGTGATTTTGTAGGACAATGCGGGACACGAGACAGATACATTCACTATTGTTATGCTATGTAAATACAGTGGGGAAAATATTTATTTGATCCCCTGCTGATTTTGTAAGTTTGCCCACTTACAAAGAAATGCAGGGTCTGTAATTTTTATGGTAGGTTTATGTTAACGGATAGAGACAGAATATCAACCAAAAAATCCAGAAAAACACATTATATAAAGGTTAGAAATTGATTTGCATTTCAGTGAGTAAAAGAAGTATTTGATCCCCATGCAAAACATGACTTAGTACTTGGTGCAGAAACCCTTGTTGGCAAGCACAGAGGAAAGAGTTTTTTTGTAGTTGGTCACCAGGTTTGCACACATCTCAGGAGGGATTTTGATCCACTCCTCTTTACAGATCCTCTCTAAATCCTTAAGGTTTCTTGGCTATCGTTTGGCAACTTGAAGATTCAGCTCCCTCCACAGATTTTCTATAGGATTGAGGTCTGGAGACTGGCTAGGCCACTACATGACCTTAATGTGGTTCTTCTTGAGCCACTCCTTTGTTGCCTTTGCGGTATGTTTCGGGTTATTGTCATGCTGGAAGACCCATCCATGACCCATCTTCAGTGTTTTGGCTGAGGGAAGGAGGTTCTTGTCAAAAGATTTTACAGTACATGGCCCCGTCCATTTGCCCCTCAATGCGGTGACGTCGTCCTGTACTCTTAGCAGAAAAACAGCCCCAAAGCATGTTTCAACGTCCGTGCTTGACTGTAGGGATAGTGTTCTTGGGGTCATAGTCAGCATTTCTCTCCCTCCAAACAATTGCGGCGTAGTGTGTAACCAATGTTTTGCTTGATGACTGTGGTCCCAACTACCTTAAGATCATTAACAAGCTCCTTCCGTGTAGTTCGGGGCTGATCCCTCACCTTTCTCATGATCATCCTTACCCCATGAGGCAAGATCTTGCACGGAGCTCCAGACCGAGGCCGATTGATGGTTATTTTGTATTTCTTCCATTTCCAAATAATAGCACCAAGAGTTCTCCTCACCAAGCTTCTTGAGAGCTTGTGTGGACAGATTGTGTGGACAGGTGTCTTATTATATATATATATTTTTTTTTTAAGTGACGTGACATGTGGCCAAGTATGGTGACCCATACTCGGAATTAGTGCTCTGCATTTACCCATCCAAAGTGCA